CTGAATCACTTCCCCACCCCCCGCCCTCATCCTTCATTTTCCCTCTGTGTTGGCTCTTTATCTTCTAGGAATAAACACAGTTGACGCTCTCCCATCTAAAAGAACATTCCCAAACTGTCCTTGATCTCACCTACATCCCCTCTAGTCACCACCCTCTATTTCTTTTTTCTTTTCTTTAAAAAAAAAAACTTATTGGGGAATTGGGGGAGGGGAACAGCATTGGGGAATTGGGGAAAGGGAACAGACAAGTTGCTGTCCTTTCGTTCTTCAGTCTAGTTGTGGAGGACGTTGCTTCACTGGCCCATGTTGGTATTTTCACTGAGCTCTTCCCGGGTGAGGCAGTCGCTCGCTGGCCATCGGACAGCCCCTCACGGAGGCTGCCGGCCAGCCCCACTGCAGCCTACGCCGTCGCCAGCGACTCATGGCAGCGCAGCTCCAGGTTGAGCTGTTGTTCACCATCTTAGCTTGTAGAAGATGCAGGGTCACTGGCCCTCATGTGGGATCCGAACCGGGGCCCTGCTGCTCAGAGCTGGTGTCCTAAGCCAACTCCTAACCAACGCGCCTCTCGGCTGGCCCCCTCTATTTCTTCACAGCTGAGCTCCCTGAAAGAGTTCATGTACAGCCTCCACCCCCACCCCCATCTACCTCATCTTCACATCAGTCCCTTCTGTTCTCACTTCCACCCAGGTCGTCTCACTTCTTCCCTAGCTCTCCTAGACACGGCTTTAACCAAGGTCACTGGTGACCTCCTTGTTGTCAAAGCAAATGGACACTCTATCATCTTCTCATCTTTCCCAGACTCTCAGATGGTATCCGACACCTGAGCATGGCTCTTGGAAGCTGTCTCCTCCATCAGTTTCTGGGGCCACTCACCTCTTCTGGCTTTGCTCTCCTCCCTGATCATTCCTTCTCAGCCTTCTTGTTCAGATCTCTTCCTTTACTGTCTTTTTTTTTTCTTTTAAAGATTTTATTGGGGAATTGGGGGAGGGGAACAGCGTTGGGGAATTGGGGGAAGGGAAACAGAAAAGTTGCTGTCGTTTTGTTCTTCAGTCTAGTTGTGGAGGATGTTGCTTCACTAGCCCATGTTGGTATTGTGATCATTGCTCTCTTCCCAGCTGAGGCAGATCGGTTGCCAGCCACTGGACGGCCACTCACAGAGACTCTTAGCAGCTCACGCCGGCTGCCAGCCACTCATGCTAGCTTATGGCAGCCCAATGCAATAGGGGCTGCAGCCTACGCCGCAGCAGCCCAGCTCCAGGTCAACCTGTTGTTCACCATCTTAGCTGTAGAGGGCAGTGTCACTGGCCCTCATGTGGGATCCGAACTGGGGCCCTGCTGCTCAGAGCTGGCATCCCAAGCCAGCTCTTAACCAACGTGCCACTCGGAGGGCCCCTTCCAACTGTCTCTTAATGTCCATCTTCCCTGAAGTTCTTCCCCCAGCTCTCTTCCCTGTATGCAGACCTAAGTCTTTCACATACCACTTGGATGCTGACAATTTCCTAATCTCCACCTGGGTTCACTTTTTCCCAAGCCCTAGACTTACTTGTTCATGTGAACATTCTATGCCAGATGTGTGCCTCAAATGCCAGATGTGCTAAGATGAACCCTCTTTTTCTCCAGACCTGCTCTTCCTCCCGCATTCCCTGTCTTGGTGAATGGATACGTCATCCACCCAGGCCTTCAAGTCACACACCTACATGTCATCCCAGGCTCCTCCCTCTCTCATGCACCCCGCAGCCAATTTGATGTCAAAGCCTGTTGATAATTCCCTCTAGCTATGGCTAGAATCTGGCTTATCTTCAGGATACCCCCTGCAGAGCCCCAGGACAGGCAAATCTGATTCTCTCACTCTCTAGGTTAAAAGTATTCAGTAGCTCCCCATCACCTTCGGGATAAAGTGTTCTTTCTTTAGGTCCCTGAAAGAGCCATACTTTTCATCAGGGCCAGGACTAGGGTGAGGCAAGCTGGGTCCCTATCAAGTGGTCAAGACGAGGCAGTGGGATAAATGAGGTCTGATGGCCAGTTCTGAGGTTCCATAACTCTGCCTGGTCTTGTCCAGCTTTTCCCCTGGTGGGAAGCTGGTGTAGGCACCATCATTCCACCATAGTCCTGCTTATGAGTATGAAAGTATTGTGCTTACATGTTCAAGTCCAAACGCCTTAGCAAGGCATTCGAGGCCCCTCAGGATCTGGCCCCTGATCAACATACAGCCCCAGCTCTTAGCACCCCTGCCCTCTACCTTCCAGCTATTCTGAACGATTAGAATTTTCTTGAAATTTTCCTGCTTTCTCCCATCTTGGAGGCCTTTGCCCAGGCTGTTCTCTTTCTGGAACGCCCCCTTTCTCTCTCCTGCCTACTTCCAACAGTCCTCCATGTCACCTCTTCCAGGAAGCCCTTAGTGCTCAAGTCTGGGTGAGGCACCCTCCTCTGTGCTATGATAGCACCCTTGCCTGGCCCTTAGTGCCTTGTATGGATATTGCTTCTAAATGCACAGCTAATCTTTCTTGAGTCACTATGTGTTGGGCCCTGTTCTAAGTACCTTATATAATTTACCTCATTGAATCCTCACAACAACCTCATGCATTGGATGTTCGCTGTATCCTGGTTTTACAAAGGGAGAAATGGAAGCTCAGACAGATTCAGGTTACATAGTGGCTTAGTTATCTACGCTGCATAACAAATTACCACAAACAGGGCAGCTTAAAACAACCTACGTATAATCTCAGTTTCCATGGTTCAGAGTCTGGGCAAGGCTCAGGCTCTCACCAGGATGCAATTCAGGTGTAGGCTGAGCTGGGGTTTCATCTGGAGTGGGGGTCCTCTTTCAGGCTTGTTCAGGAGTTGTCAGAATTCAGTGCCTTGTCACTGTAGCGCTGAGGCTCTCAGCTCCTGGAGGCAGCCTCTCTCCATGCAGTTTACAACGTGGCTCTTTGCTTCTTCAAGGTCAGCAGGAGACACTGTCTCTTCAGGAATAGCCCAGTCCCCCTTTTAAAGGCTTTTGCCTGATTAAATCAGGCCCGCCCAGAATAAGCTCCCTTTTGAATAACTGAAAATCAACTGATTAGGGACCTTAATTACATCTGCAAAATCTCTTTACTTTCCATAAAAGGTCATTTAATTATGGGAATGGCATCCCCTCATAATTACAGGTCCCCTTCATACTCTAGGGGAGCGGATTAAACAGGGCATGTATGATGTCTGACAACAAAGTTCGCAAACTTGTTGCAATGATGTTGCTAACTCTTTTTGGTATCAGAGGGATTATTCATTATGAATTTTTACCAACTGGACAAACAGTTAACCAAGTTTACTATGTGGAAGTACTGAAAAGGCTACGTGAAAAAGTTAAACAACTTGAACTTTTCACTAATAATTCCTGGCTCTTGCATCACAATGCACCAGCTCACACAGCACTGTCTGTGAGGGAGGTTTTTAAAATAAAAAATAAAAAAATTTTTTTATTGGGGAACAGTATGTTTTTCCAGGACCCATCAGCTCCAAGTCAAGTAGTTGTCTTCAATCTAGTTGTGGAGGGCACAGCTCCGTGGCCCACGTGGGAATCGAACCTACGTGGGAATATGAGCCTACGCTCTAACCACCTGAGCTAACAGGCTGCCCCTGTGAGGGAGTTTTTAGCCAGTAAACAAATAACTGTACTGGAACACCCTCCCTACTCACCTGATCTGGCCCCCAATGACTTCTTTCTTTACCCAAAGATAAAGGAAATACTGAAAGGAAGACATTTTGATGACATTCAGGACATCAAGGGTAATAAGATGACAGCTCTGATGGCCATTCCAGAAAAAGAATTCCAAAATTGCTTGAAAGGGTGGATTAGGCCGTAGTGTCGGTGCATAGCTTCCCAAGGGGAGTACTTCGAAGGTGACCGTAGTGATATTCAGCAATGAGCTATGTAGCACTTTTTCTAGGATGAGTTTGCGAACTTAATTGTCTGACCTCATATGCCAGGGGCAGGAACCTTGGAGGCCATATTAGAACTGTGCCTCCCACACACAGCAAGCAAGAGGCAGCTTCAGTAAGCAAACACAGCTCTTGTTACTCAACTTTAATCTAGTTGAGACAAAGAATACAAGAACAAGAAACCAGCAGGTCTTAGGAGGACCCACTTGGGTACTGCGTGTAAAGTACACAGCACCTGACCCACAGTAGGCACTCAGTACTTGCAGTTCCCATCCCTAAAGGCCAACATGGTGGCTTATATGCCTCTCTGCTTCCATACTCAGCAAAAGGAGGTACTTGGAGAAGCCTTGGGGTGGGTCAATTGCAGCAGAATTCTTTGATCATCTAGTTTGAATTCTGTGTCTGGCTGGAAGAGGGAACCCAATGAAAAGGCCTTCCCATACCCCCACACCCCGGTACCCCGAGTCATCCCCTATCAAAATATAAAATAAACTTACCTTCTCACTCCCCCATCCCTCAGTCCTACCCACCCCATCCCCTCAATGAAGAAAGGGACAAAGTCAGGAATTGATGCTGCATCTTTTTTTTTTTTTTTACTTTTGCCTTCTTAAAGCATATGCTGAGCTGATGAATGAAGCAGTTTGGCAATTAAAAAGGTCCAGGGGCTTGGGCAGCAGCAGGGGTAGGCCAGGTGAGGGGGGAACTCTCTTTCCCTGGCCAGGGAGCAGCAAAGCCCGCACTAACTTCATAAAATATAAAACAAGGGAGGGGTGACGGTAGGAGGGAGACTTGTAAAATACAATATCTTAGGGGATTGGCAATAATAAAAAATAAGGTTCATTATTTACAAACAATTTCTGTTCTTGGTCTCTGTACAGTGGGTGGGGATGAGGGGTGTGTGTGTGTGTGGGTGTGTGTGTGTGTGGGTGGGTGTGTGGGTGTGTGTGTGTGTGCATGTTGACGTGTGTGTGTGTTTGTGTGTGTATGTGGGGCAGGGAGGCAGTGGTCGTGATGGTCATTATGAGAAAGGAGCGGGGCAGCCCAGTGAGTGGTTTATCTGAGAAGGACGGATGGTTGTGGGAGGAAGGGGTGAGAATGGAGTGGTTAGCCCAAGGGAATAGTCCAAACGTGACAGGGTGGAGAGGAGCAGCCCCAGTCAAGATCTGGGGCAAAGGAGGACTGGGAAGAAGTGGGATGGGACCCCAGGAGGCAGGGGTACAAGCTGGATCCGGGTTAGTGAGCAAGACAACCCCTCTTCTGGGTGCCAGGGGGTATCGTCCTGTGTCCTGGGTCTTGGCACAGCCTAGGAGAGCTTGATGGTGGTGTTTGGGCCCAGATCTCTGGAGAAAGAAAAGAAGTCAGGGGTGATTTGTCCAGTGAGGACCCTCTCACCCCTCTGCAAGCTGGATCTGGACTTGGGAGGGTATGGCTGACATGGGACCAGGGGTGGGCAGAGGGCAGGTGGAGCTTGGGACCCCAGAAAGGGAAGGGGCCACCCACCCACCTTTCATGGAACCACTCCTTGGGGTGGGAGAAGTTGGGGCTGGTGCCATTTCCACCGACATCTTTTGGCCAGGCTTCGCTCAGGTACTTGGTGGTCTCATGGGTGCCGTCCAGATGGTCATGCTGCAGGTGGTCCTGGGGTCGCTGCTCCACTGGCCCCCCGGGCTTGATTTCCCAGCCATCTGGGGGCTCCACAGGCAGCAGGGCGCTTCGGCCATCCTCCCAGGACCCTGGCCCCTCATCGTAGAACAGGAGGCTTCGGGAGGGCACTAGAGAGGGAGCTTGGGGTGAGCCAAGGTGCCAAGAGGCTCCCTTCCCACCCCGGCCACATTCAGGCCTAGTAGGCACGGACATGGGCCCTGGAATCTTACAGGCCTGGATTTGAATTCCAGCTCTAACAATTCCAAGCTGTGTGATCTCAGATGAGTCATGCCTTTGTTTTGCTTTAAACTTTCTTAGCCTCAGTTTGTTCATCTGTAAAATAGGGATACTAGGACCAACTTCATGTAAAAGTGAGGTTTAATTGAGGTAATAAGTGATTGACTGTGTTTAGTAAGCACCCAGAGAAAGTAGCTCTTCCTAAGCAGAGGGTACCGGACTGAGGCATCTGATAGCTGGGTTCTAACTCTATTTCTATCACTCACTTTCTGTGAGACCCTGAATAAATCTCTTCTCTATCCTAGGCCCTAGAGTGCCTTTCAGGGAAATGAAAGGAAAGAAAACCCATTTGTTGGAGATCTACTATGTGCCAGCACTGTGCAAAGCTCTTTGACCTGTATCAAATCATTGACATCTCACAGAAACTCAGGAGCTTGATATTTTTAGCCCATTTCACAGAATAGGTAATTGAGGTTCCAGGTTATCAGGTACGTTGTCCCACACTAGTCCGAGCTGAAGGTGACAGGCAGTCCTATTAGGATCCACCACCACCCTGCCAGCCTTCACCGCCCTGACCTATGTGAAAATTTATGTGAAAGGCGCCCCCTACGCTTGTGCCATGCACCAGCTCTGTCTGCCAGCCTGCTCCAAAAGCACTTCCTACCGCAAACGTGTCCTCTTCGCCCTGCCCAGGCCCTGGGCCTGTAGCCACTGCACTCATCCGGAATGAGGGACCCATTCCTTCCCTGGCCTCCTCTGACCCTGGCTTCATTCATCAACACTGGCCCCCAACTCGCCCCCCACCCCCACTCCCAGATTCCATTCCTTCCTCTCCTCAGGCTTCCTCTACCACCAGATATACATGGACCCCTCTGCCCCTGAAAAAACGGCCGTGGCTCTCAAGACATTTCATCCCCATCGCCCATGTTCCTGAGCAACTGTCCAGTTCTCTTCTTCGCAGGCTGTACAAGTCCAGGGAGTGGACATGTCCTCTTCCTGCCGCCGCTTCCTCTGCCCCCAACACTCCCCTTAGCCAGCCGCTTCCTCCCCTTAAGGCTCTGCAGGCCTAGCTCATCCTGACTGCAGTATCCCTTCTTCTGGAAACTCACTCTCCCCATTTCTTTGCTCTCTGACGGCCCATCCATTTCCTCTTCCTCCTCCTGCCCCACCAGACCACCAGATAACCCGCTCCTGGTAAATGATGACGCACAGTCAGGAAGTTCCTCTGGAGGTCTACCTGAAGTATTTCCTGCCTCTGGAAATCCACACTCTTCTTTGCTGTGCCCTATACCAGTTCTCCCCTTGCCACCCACATGTTGTGTCCGTGTTGAGAGCATTCATACACCATGTAATTTAGTCTTCACAACAACCATGTTCGGTAGGTGCGGAATTGTAACTCCCATGTCCAGATGAAGAAATGAAAGCGTAGAGCGCTTAAGGCACATGCCCCACGTCATGCATTTAGCAAGTGGTAGTGCAGGTATGACGGACTCTGACGTGCCATGCTCTTAACCGCTGTCTCTTGCAATCCCCTGTGGGATGCTAAATATCTGAGCCCACACCGCCACTACCCTTCTGCTGCCCATGGTAGGCATTACCCATAGACCACGGCACTACTTCCTGTGGATCCTGAGTGGTGTCTCAGAATCCTCCTTAACACAGTGTTTCAGGCGGCCGCCACCATCTTATTGGAAACGGCCCTTGAGCTGAAGCTCATTTGCTATCTCAGTTGTGAAATACTGATGGTGCTTAGCAGAGGCCCCATAACCACCGGCACCCTAGTACATAGGGGTTAGGGCAGGAACGTTCCTATTATCCCCTAAACTACTCCCAGGTGGGCTGGGAATCAGGGGGGTCTGCACTGTAGTCCCAACTCCAAAGCGGACATTGAACAAATCATAGACCCTTTTTGGGCTCCAGTTTCCCCATCTGCCAAATGAGGAGGTAGAATGAGATGATGCCAACCCAAAACTTGGCTCCTGTCTGGCTTCTGTCCAGAAGTTGGAGCTGGGGGAGGGCAGCCCGGCTCAGGGCACTCACTCTGACTGGCTGTGTAGACGCTGTCAGTGGCCATGGGGTCTTCCTTCACAGTCTGCGAGCTGGAGGAGAACTCAGGGAGACAGGGCACAAGGGAGCCCAGCACCAGAACGAAGCACAAGGCTGCCACCTGGTAGTGGAGAGAGAGTGGGGGATCAGATCCAGGGCAGGGAGGGCTCACAACCCTGGCCACCCTCAATCCCCCTCCTCCAAAACCAATAGGCGCAAGAGGCTCTGAATGTTTTCAAGAAAGTAGCTCGCAGAGCCAACTACCCCCTCTCTGGAGAAGGCGGAGAAGGCTGCTCAGGCCTTCTCAGCCCATTGTAGGGGCCAACACAGGCAGTGCAGCAAAAAAGAGGAAAGTGGCCAATGCAGGTATCACTTAGAGGGTGGAGGAATCAGGAAAGGAAGAAAGGTGTGGGTAGAGGTGTGGACTGGGGCTGGGACAAGGGCAGGGGACACAGCATCACACCAGAATCTCTGCAGGAGAAGCTAAGAGTCACAAAGCCCAAGCTAACCCCTGACAACATCATGGCTCTGCTACCTGACAACAAGAAAATCTCAGAGGGTATGGGGAGGGTACAGGCTCTACGTTTCTAGGAGAGGCTGGAAGAGGGACAAGCGGGCACTCTTCTGGGTTTTTATAGATTTGCTCAGCTTTCTCTCCACCATTCATTCTAGAAAGAACCAAGTGTATACTTCCCTGTGTCTCCCCAAGTCCTTCACTCCACAGGGTGTGGAAGACACCTCCTCAAGGGACTTGCCTTGCCATCCCCCAGCTAGGTTCGCATAAGTCACTACACAGCCACACTGTATTAGAACTGGTCAGGGAAGGTCATGTTCTAGAAGGTTCCATGGGCTTGGTGAAAGAGGCTGGGGTCTGTTGGAGCCAGCCAACCAGGCACTAGGATGATGTGCCTGGGTGATGTTGCCCACAATATTGCCAATCCTTCAAAGCTCCATCCACCCCCCTAGAAAGCCACCCTGGGGAAGACTCGTCCTCCCGTGGCCCAGTGGCAAGGTAGCAGCACCTACCATGAGACAGGTCCCAGTCTGGGTGGAGGCCATCTTGTAAGGTCTGGAGATCTTGTTGGTGACCAGAGTCTGGAGTTTCTGCAGCTGCTGGAGCAGGGTCCTGAGGAGGGCACAGCGGTCACCCAGCAGGCTCTGACCCAGCAGGCATCTCTGCCTCCTGGAGCTCTCCGGTGGGGCACCTGGGCTGGCTCCAGATTTGGCTTCCACACCAGGTGCCCATTTCAGTCAAGACAGAAAAGGTCACCTCCTGCTTGGTTCCTCTGTGGTGTGGCTCAGGCACCTGGGGCCTGCCTCACAGTGAATAAGCTGGCTTCACCCTATGGGAAGCTCAGGGGTGCCTGTGACGCTCCTGGCCAAAGTGGGGATTGGAGGAGGGCCTGTCCCACCTGGACTGAGGTCACCTTCTTTTTCTCACCCTACATCAGTCACAGCTAAATTGACCTTCCCTCTTTTGCACCGCACGACACCCTGAGCTGAGAAGAAGGACGCGTCTGGCAGCAGTCTGGTACATAGTGCGTGTCCAGTAAGTGGTAGCTATCATTTTTGTTAATTTTATTGCTGTTTTTGCATTTATCACAGCACCTGTAACACTTCATTTATTTATGGATTTCCACATCAGTCTCCTCAGTTCACTGTGGGTCCCCTGAGGGTAGGGACTGGGTTCCACACAGTGTGGAATCCTCCCCATACACACAGAGAGTGCTCAGCCCACGCTTGTGGACAGTTGAATCATCTCCTCCACCCAGCCTGGCGGTGGGGGTGCAGTTCCCACAATGTACAGCAGGTGGCGAAATAGGAATCTGGGCCAGAGGTAGAGGGATGAGGGGTGAAGGGTGAGGGGTGAGGGTTCCCACTCCCCTTCCCTGAATGGGGGCATTCTCCAGGTCAATCGGGGGAGTAGCTGGATCCCACTGGAGAAGCTGGGGGAGAAGGAAGGAAAGAAGGAAAGAGCCTTCTGTTGAGCACCTGCTATAAACCATCTGTTGTCTGTTACTTTAATTAATCCCAGCAAATAATCGTTAAAGACCTATAGCTGGGCACTATCAAGAAGTCAGAATAACAACAATAACAAAGAAAAAAGAAAAACTAACATGAATTGAGCATTCTTAAATGCCAGCCACAGTGCTGGGCCCCTTAGTGGCACTGTCTCATCGAATCGTCACATGAATCCTGTGACACGGTGCTTCTATCATCTCTATTTAGACGAAGAAACTGGGGCCCAGAGAGGTTTACCAGTTTCCCCAGAATCACTAACATGGCAGAGCGGGCTACGGATCCAGAGCTGTGACTCTACGTAGCTACTCCATGCCAGGCGCTGTGCCAGCTCTACACGAATGTTTCTCAAACTTAACGGTACCTGCGAGCCACCCGGGGATCTTGTTGAAATGCAGACTCTAATTCAGGAAGTCTGGGAAGAGTCCTTGAAATCCTGCATTTCTAACAAGCTGCCAGGTGATGCTCATGCTGTTTGTCCGAGAAACTGGCTTTAAGTGGCAACATCTACACCAGTGGTTCTAACTTTAGAGTGCATCAGAGTGACCTGGAGGGCTAATTCACACACAGGTTGCTGAGCCCTCTCCCTGGAGTTCCTGGTTCAGTAAGCCCTGGCAGGAGGCCTGAAAGGAAGCATTTCTAACACGTTCCCAGGGGAAGCTGCTGGTCTAAGGACCACACTTTGAAAACTACTGCTCTATACCATCTCATTTAAGCATCTCACCAGCCCTGCAGGTGTCTAGAGCTATGTACAGGTAAAGAAGGATGGGAAGCCGGGGTCCCTGTTTCTGGGGTTCCTGTCATCCTGAATTCAGTTGCCTCTTCTCTCTCCTGTCTCCCAGAGCTATGCCAGAGCCTGGCATTGGGTACAGAAGGCAGGGGGCAGGACGGGAGGCAGGTGGCACCACCCACCTGTTGGCATTCTCCAGGGTCTCTACCTTCTTCCACAGTTCGTTGTTCTCTGATGTAAATGTCTCCACCCTGCAGGGGCCAAGTTGGCACAGGCTCAGGGGCAGCCCCCAGACTCACTGCTGCCCCCTCAGCCCTGCCCACCATCACCCCACTGCCAGTTTCCCTTCCTCTGGCGCCCTGTGAGAGAGGACTAGGGAGAGCAGGGCAGGCTGGGGAGTAGGGCCCAGGCCCCCCACCCCACCTAGGCCCCTTACTTCTTTTCTAGACACTCCACGTATTCCTTCTTCTTACGGCGGCTCTCCTGGGCTGAGATCTAGAGGGCGAAGACCCCAAAAGAGGGGTTACTATGGCCTCATATCCACTTCCTGCTCCACCCCCCCCCCAATTTAAAGGGTCACGTTGCCAAAGGAGCAGAGGCCCCCATGCACCAAGGAAGTCCCAGGGCAGGGCCTAGGTCCTGCTTTACCTTGTTCTTGATTTTTCTCCGGACCCTCTTCAAGGCCTTCTCCTCGGCTTTGGTGAGGGGGAGTTTTGTGGGGATGGGGTAGCCCTCTGCAATCAGGGTGCGTTTCTCCTCCTCTGTCAGGAGCAGTGGCCCTGATGTCCCCTGTAATTTCTGTGGGAAACAGGACATGTAACCATGTCTGGTTACAAACCAGACAGCCCTTGGTTCAACTTCGACCTACGCCATTTACTCTGTGTGTGACCGGGGCAAAGCCCTCAACTCCCTGAGCCTCAGCTTCCTCACCTGAAAAAGGGACAGATCCGAATTAAACTCTGTAACATGTATCAAGTGCTTAGGACAGTGCTGGAAGGCAGGCATGTTAGGCACTCAGTACATGGTTGGGGGGGCTCCCCAGATCCCATCTTGGAATCCATCCCCTCAAAGCCCACTTCTCCAGGACCCCCTAAACAGTATCCCCCTCATACCCCAGCCGTCTTGGCTTGGAAGGCTCCACACCCATCCCAGGGCGCAGGGCCCTAGCTCCATGTTTCCTGGGGGACTCTGGGCCTCCTGAGCCCTGTTCCCCAAACAGTGCTTCTTGGAGACAGCCTGGACCGTCCTCCTGGAAATCAGGAATGTCACGTTCTAGTCCTGGCTCTGCAATGGTGTGGGTTTGGCAGGCCTTTTGGACCTCTCGACTTGTTTCCTATTCACCACAAGGCAGCATTAAAAGATCCTCACTCTCAATTAATTGCCAGGCAGGCACCTCTCTGAATTCTGATGCGGGGGTGGGGATTCAGACTCTTCCCCATTGGTGGTGTGTCAGGGTGGATCTACTCAATTCTTGACCCCAGACCACCCCCAGATACTTACGTGAGGGGCGGTGAGGAGCGGGGAGGTGGAGATGGCCGTAGAGGAGCGGGCCATAGGCCGGACAGGGCTCGAAGGGGGCAGAGATCGGGGACTCTGGGAGCCATCGCTGTCACTGCCATGGCTGCTGGGGGGCGTCGGAGGCATTTGCACCAGGTCCTCTGGGGAGAGCAGAGGAAGCCAGGTTAGCAGAGCTGCACCCCAGCTGTGCTGGGACCTCAGAATTCAGCAGAGCATGGGCCTAACGCAGCCTGATGTTGTGGTCAAGACTGCTGGGGCCTTGACCAGCTGTAACATCAGAGGGCCCTCTGGATGTCAGAAAGATGGGAGCTCATATCCCAGAAGTTGATTCCTAGGTGCCACCCCATGGCTCTGTTAAGCCTGGTCCTTGGCATAGATATCACAGAGGCTGGATCCTTGGAGTCCTTGCCCCTTCCCTGACTTCACAGGATCCAGTCTTTGAGCCTCCAGCTTGGCAATCCCAGGAAGTGGCTGGAGTCTGCCCACAGCCAGACCCGTGGGAATCAGGCTGGCAAGCAGCAGCCTCTGCCCCTTCCTTCCTTCCACCTCAAAATGTCTAGCCATAACTACCCCGGAGTTTCCATTTCCAACTTCAGGGTAACAAGACAGCAGGCACTGGCCTTTCAGCAGACCAGCCAGGAGCACTGTTTTGTCCACTCAGTGCTGCCCCTTTGTGGCCACAGCACCAGGAAGACTGAAGTTCTGCAAATGGCCAGGAGGAGGCCTGGCCAGAAAGCCAGAGAACCAAGAGCCTAGCTGCAGGGAGAGCTCCCAGGGCCGTATAGACTGCCCAGATTTACGGATGGATGGAAGGATGGATGGACGGATGGACTGATGAATAAATGGCAAGAGTGGGCTTCACTTAGTGAATTACGGGAGGGAATTAGCAAAGAGAGTGAGAGGGTGTTGATAACAGTGATGACAGTCAGAGATTAGGTAAGAAGGGCACTGGAGGGATGGAAAGTGGGCAAGGTGGGGAGGAGAGGACATTCTGGGGAGAGAAGGGGTTGTCCAGAGAGATGGGTGGGCTGGATCACTGGAGCAGGGACGCTCTCTGTCCAGTACTGCAGAGGAAAAGAGTCCCTCCCTGGACACACTTACCTGGTGTCACTTTAAGGAACTGGTTCACCTCCTGGGGCTCGGCTTTGATCACTGGCAGCTGAGTCATCTCTCCTGGGGCCTGAGGAAGAGACAGGTCCAGCTCCATCAGCTGCCGCCGGGCTGTCCCCACCATGTCATCCACCCTGCTTCCCTCCCTGAGCCTGGTGGTCTGTCCTGCACAGTTGGGAAGGTGACTGAGCATAGCCCAGAGGGAGTAGTGACAAGCTCTTGTGCTTGGAGAAGCCATGTCAGACCTAAGAGAAGAGCATGGTGGCCAAGTAGTACAGTTCAAGCCTTCAGATCAGAGAAGGAGGGCTTCCTGTGGCCTCCAAGGCCGGTGCCATCTCCTCGGTGGAGCCCAACCCTGTGCTGGCTGTGAAGGCTACGTAGGCCTTGGTATGTGGGTTGCCATGAGAGCGAGAAGCAATGTCTGGCACACTGTAGGTGTTCAATGAATGGTAACAACAGCAGAGGTGAAGGAGGCTCTAACTGGTGGGGTGCTGAGAAAGCTCCCTGATCAGCTGAAGTTTGAAATGAGTCCTGAAGTATACATAGGAGTATTCCAGACAAAGGATGGGCAGACGGTGAGTGAGAGGAAAGGCAGTCCAAGCCGAGGGAAAAGCACCTGCAAAGGCACAGAGGCCAGACAGAACATGGCTGGTTCTGGAAACTGCAAGTATTCAGGGTGTCCAGAATGCAGGGGTGTATGTCAGGGGTGGAGTGGTAGCAAACAAGACCAGAAGCCTGGGGTCGGGGAGTAGAATCCAGACAAAGAAGGTTGAAGCAGGGAGGAGTCTCAGTGAGTTTTAAGCAAGGGACTGACATAATTCAATTTATACTTCAAACAAACATGCATTCCTATTTCTTTCTATTCCAACTTGCTGTTCCAGAAAGGACTATCAACACACATGTAAGTGGTGTTCTTTTTGAGGACGGCACTGTGGTGAGTGCTGGACTCTCTACCCTCAGGGTCCAAAGCCAGCAGAGAGAGGTCATGCTATTGTGGGTAGGACACAGAATCCCAAATTTAGGCAGATGAGTAAGTATCACTAAAGGTTCAAGTCATCAGGGACCTGGGAGTTTCCCTGGTCTGTATCCCAGCTCAGCCCTCCAGTGACAGATGAAGAGACCATGATGCAGCAGGGTGATGGCACCTGCGTTATGAGACAGGTCACACAGCTCATGCCAACTCCTGGTTCCTGTGCCACCACTAGGGTGTCGAGACCTTGCTGGGGTGAAGGTGTGGGCTTCAAGGTCTGGCGACTGAGTCTGGAGTGCATCTCCACTGTTTCTGACTATGTGATTTGAGGCAAGTTGCTTAACTCTTTGAGTCTCGGTTTCCTGCTCTGAGGCAAGTGCCCAACTCCTAAGACCCCGCCTGCTGCTGCTGTCCCGCCTTCCCTTCCTGCTTTGGAGGGGAAGGCCTGAGGAGTCGCTGAGCCAGTCTTGCAGCTGGTCACAAAAGGTCCTCCACTTTTGCAGCTAACCATTGATCCCTGGGGACAGTGGTGGGGCTGGGAGAGGCTGACCCATCTACATTCTGGCTGACCCATGGCTACATTCTGATCAGGAGAGCTGTGTGGCCGGCCCAACTCAGACTGGGGATTTAAGATGACCCTTGTAGACTCAGGGCCAGAAACTCCTTAGAGGTAGCTCATGGTGCCATTTTACAGAGAAGGAGGCTGAGGAAGAAAGAGGGAATGCAACACGTCCAGAGCACAATGACAGCCTGGCAGGGCCTCTCCCAGGGGCCAGGGCTCTAGGCCTCACGTTCCCAGATGAGTCTTCAGGCTTCAACTTTGGATCTATGGCTTAATGCTGCTATCTATACATTCATAGAGTGCAGGGGGCGGGGGTGGTAGCATGAGAGTTTGGGTTAAAAATATTAATCTCATGAATGTAGACAACTGAATTATAGCACACATTTTATATTCCTATTTTGGTTTATTTCTTTTTTTAAATGCTGTCACTTTGAGGAAAATTAAGACATCATCCCTATTGCTGATGGGCGCCCACAGTCCTCCACCCCAAGTCATCCCTGCTCACGGTGGCCCCAGCATCTGGTAGCCAGAGAAGCCGTGGTGAGCTGGGGGTCTGGGGAACCAGTTTGCAGGGGAAGGGCTCGAGGGGACTCTGGCCCTTGGGGCCCACTGTGGGTAGGGAGAGGGCTGTCTCCATCTCTGGGACTCTGGTCCTGGCCCCTGACACCCAGCCCTGCCTGGGTCCCTATAAGCCTTTTTCTGCCCACAGTGAGGCCCCCAGCTTACTCGGAGGGTTCTGTGGTTTGTGCACATCCTAGGATGGTGCAAGCGCAGCCCGAGGGGGAGTCAAAGGCCGGGTCTGGGAGTTCCGACCTCAGCCCTGAGGGTCACATTGCTCCCTGTTCACAGAGCCCCGGGGTGCACAGGGCTTTGGATATTTCTTCCCACAAAGACCCACCACCAACCACCCGTCCTCCCTCCCTCAGCCCCCCTCCCAGCAGTCCCCAGGCTCACCTGGTGAGGGATGGGCAGCCTGGACAGGGGGCTGAGTCCCAGCAGCGGGGTGGTGGCCATGGCAGCAGCAGCCATGGCCGAGGAGGCAGCCAGAGGGTCCACGGGCAGCTCCGGGCTCTGCTCCTGCTTCACCATGACGGAGCACAGTTTGTGTCCCAGCACCCATGCTCCATGTTCCACGTCTGGGGGGAAGGAGCAGGGACCCAGGCTCAGGGGACTTCCAGAGCACAGGGCTCAGCCCCCTCCTATCCCCTGGGAGCTGCTCTGGACTGCATTGAGGAGGGATGCTGGGTATACAGGGGAGGCAGGGAGGAAAGGGGAGGGGGGAGGGGGAGGGGGCTGGGGCCAGAAGGAGTGGGGGCATCTTTTTCATAGTGGGCTTAGACAACAGACCTGGACCCCTCCAGACCGGCTATATGACCTTAGGCAGGTTGCTTAACCTATCTGAAGCCTTAAACTCCTCATCTGTAAAAGTGCCTGAGGAGAAGTAAATGTTCAATAAATGGTAGCTATTGTTAATACAATTACTGTAATTTAGCAAACATTTGCTGAGCACTGTGCTAGGTGCTGGGGATCTAGTGAGAGTCGTAAGCAGTTTAGTGCAGTTGGAATAGAAAAGAAAGGGAAGATGGGGCCAGAGAGGCCAGCAGAGGTGGCACGGCCTTGGAGGCTGGGCTCAGAGCTGTGACGTTGTCCTAAAGGTAATAAGGTGGCACTGGAGAGTTTTAAGTATGCTCAGATCTGTCATGTTAAAAAAGACCACTCTGCTTCTGCATGGGGACGGGACTGGGGGCAGACAAAATGGAGGCAGAGAGACTGCAGAAGTCTGTTGAAATCATCCAGCAAAACAAGATGAGGCCTGAACAAAGGCAGTGGCAGTGGGGATGGAGAGGATGGGACACACTGGAGACAAATTTAGAAGGATGCACAGGACCTGGTGACTGGGGGCATTTGGGGGGTGAGGGGTGGTGCTCAGGTTTCCCAGGCAGTGTCCACCTCCTGCCCACCTAGTGAGCCTCCTGGCCTCACCTGGGCCACAGGGCTGGCAGACATCGCCCCTCTTGCTGATGGGCCCACAGTCCTCCACCCCAAGTCAGCCCTCATGGTGGCCTCAGTACCCGGTAGCCAGAAAAGCAGTGGTGAGGCAGGGGTCTGGGGAGCCAGTTTGCAGGGGAAGGGCTAGAGGCGACTCTAGCCTTCGGGGCCCACTGTGGGTGGGGATTGGGGTCAGTGGCTGCCTGATCCCACCTCAGAGGCCAGGCCCCACCCTGCTGGGAGCCTGAGTGCCCCAGCTCTGGGCCACAGGCTGCCCCTCCGCTCGAGGAACACCCACAATCTTCCCAAATTACAGGGCCAGCCTGCTGGCCTCCGGGAAGCTGCCCCCTGCAAACAGCCCACAAATTACTCTAAAAATAGACTTGGGGTGTCCAAAGAGTTGCTGGGCTGGCCCTGTGGGGGTGGATGGAGAACCTGCCATGGGAGGGTGTCCACCCCACACAGTGCCTTTCCCCAGTCTGGGGCCTGAGGCCTCACTGAGGTGACTTCAGAGGATTGGCTGAGGCCAGGGCACGCAGGGAAGCTGAGACCTCAGCAACCACAGCCCTAGAGCCATTTAAAAGCCCAGAAGGTGTCCCTGCCCTTGAGGGTGGGAGTAGGGAGGGGGGGGGTACAAAGACCCTCAGAAGCAGCTCACACTTCCTGCGCTGAGAATCGCTCTAAGCCCGGGACACAGGTGAACTCATTCATTCCTCTCAACAATCCTATGGGGCATGCACGTCATTTCCCCCATTTAATAGATAAGAATATTAAGAAAATCACTCAAGACCATTGCCCTCTAAAGGGAAAGAGGAGTACGAACCACTACAGTATTAATAGGACTTTTATAGGCACGATGAAAAGAGCCACTAATTATTGATATATAGTACGTGCTGGGCACTGAGCTGGGGTACTTTATGTACATACTTTTTAATCCTGTCCAGAATTCTCAAGGCACTTAGTCTCTTCATTTCATAGTTAAGGAAACAGAAGCCCAGGGAGGTTAAGTAACTTGCCCAGGATCGCCAAGCAGCTGGTGGAGGTTCCAGGACACACACCAACGTCTGTTTGGTTCGAAACCCAGTACCCCGTGCTGCCCCTCAAGGCTGGCAAATGTGGTGGCGGCAAGGGTGTGCGGTTTAGAACCAGGGGCTTGCTTGTTCCCAGATCCCTACCTGGCATTTTACTGTGTGCGTGACCTAGACAACTCTGCTTTCCTAGAGTCTCATTTTTCTTATCAGTTAAATGGGGATTATGATAAGAGTGATTCCTACCTCACCTAAGAATTGTGAGACACAAATGAGATAATTAGCATGAAAGCACTTTGTAAACAAGAGTGCTATCGAAATATTTATTGCTATTCCCATTTGTAGATGAAGTAACTGAGGCTTATGGAGGCTAAGAGGTGTGTCCATGGTCACCCAGCCAAATATGATGGGGCCAGAACCACCTGTGTTTGAGGAAATGCCTGAAGGGACCATTTCTAGGTGGGACACTGCCTGGAGTTCTTGAATGTTGATTACCTGAGAGAAAAGACTTAAAGGGCCCTTTGCTTAAAAGCAGGGGAGGTGTGGAGAGAGGGGAACTTCAGAGAACTCTACTTTCAGGAATAAAAGTGGGTGCAGGAGTCTTTCCAAGGAAGCATCTCAGAGGACATCGCAGTGTGAGAAGGTGGGAAGGTTCTAGAGTCTTGGTAGCTTGTCCACATTTATTGTTTATTCCCCTCCCCTGCCCCACCCCCTCAACTGTTTCCTCTAGGTCAGTGGCTCTCAGACTCAAGTGTGCTTCAGAATCAACTAGAAGGCTGGGCCCTACCCACAGGGTTTCTGATCTAGCCAGTCTGGGTGGGGTCTTAGCGGCCTGAGAATTTGCATTTCTAACAAGTTCCCAGGTGCTGCTGCTGGTCTGGGAACCACCCTTTGTACACCGCTGACCAGAGTCAGCAGCAAACTCTTCTGAAGACTGCCCATATGGGTTTGATTTGAGGGAGAACAAAAAGGCAGGAGGCAGCCGCCCTGAGAGGTGTTTGTGGGTGGCTCCTCTGAGGGCCTCTGCCTGCAGTGCCCCACTCTGGTCACTCAAAATGTTCCTCCCCTCCTGGGTCTCTGGGCCTGTGCTGTCCCTGGGCCCTGCCACCCTTTCTTACCTTGGGTGGTGTCCTCCATCTTGATGGGCACAAGGGGGCTCTGAGGCGCCGAGTCACCGCTCAGGGAGTAGCTGTGCTCGGCCTGGATGCCTGGTGTGGGGGAGTCCAGTTCCATGTCCAGTAGAGGACTCTTTTCGTCCAGCACAGGGTCATCGAAGAAACTGCTAAACAGGTCATTGGAGAAGTCCTCCATGTTCTCCGCAAAGTGGTCCAGGTGCTCAGGGAAGTGCTACGGAAAGAGGAGGGGAGTCAGCTTAGCTTGAGAAGAGGGTACTCCTGTGGTGGTACCCCCAGCCCTGCCACCACCACCGCTGTCCCTGCAACCTCCCCATTCCTCTTCCCGCCATCATTAATACCACCACCAGCACCACCAACCTCCCTACTATACATGTCACCAGTACCAACTATCATCACATGACCGCCACCACCGCCACCTCCACCTCCAGTTTCACCATCATTATCCTCAAGGATGAGCTGTGGATGGTGTGAAAGGATCCCGGGACCAGGCAACAGGACACAGGCTCTAGCTCTGGCTCTGTGACCTTGGTCACGTTACTTAGATTGCCCGAATCTGTCTCTCAGTCCACCTTACTTCCTTCATGGGAGGACTAAAACTGTGTGTCTATGCCAGCAAGTTTGCACCCCAAAGGCAGTATTAGTGACTTTTGTATTACCTTTTGCTGGGGTGCAAGGTGGTGGGATTACTGAGACCTCAACTTCCCTCATCAGCACAGTCTGCACCTGTCCTCATGCCTCCAGCATCTCCCTTTTCCAAGCCATTCTTGATCCCAAGAGGTTAGGCTCTGGCACCATATTACTTGGGTTCAAATCCTGGCTTCCATACTTCTAGCTATGACTCAGTGCCATTCAAACTGTGGGTGGTGACTCATTAATGGGTTGTGAAATCAGTTTAGTAGGCCATGACCAGAATTTAAGAAAAAATAAAACAGAACAAAACAGAGTAGAAAATATCAGGGTGCAAGGCACCCAGAAAAGTGAAATACCTGGTGTAATTTTTTAAAAAAATATTTTATTGGGGAATTGGGGGAGGGAAACAGTGCTGGGGAAATAGGGAAGGGGAACAGACAAGTTGCTGTCCTTTAGTTCTTCAGTCTAGTTGTGGAGGACGTC